CCAAACTGTCACTTCGGTCACTGTTAGAAAACATACAATTTTTTTTTTCTGGCCTCCCACTAACCAAATAATTTATCTCCTGTCTCTTGAGATTTGCACACAGTTTGTGACGCTAGAACAAATATCCCCTGAACATTTTCATGGCACTTACCAAGGAACAACATAATATGGAGTGGGCGTGGGAGGGGAGGGGACGAGGGCGGGGGTGGGGAGGGAGGGACGGGGTAGTGGGAGGGCTAGAGGATGTAAAGTCACAGCTTTGGCTACCACAACTAGACACAAATGAAGGCCCCAGTCTATATAAATGGTAGCTAAATTTCATTCGGTTCTGTGCCAGGCTTTGACGATAACCTAGGCTTAAATAATCTCAAATTAAAACAGAACCATCAGGGCAATGATAAATACAACTCCAAATATAATTATAGGTTCACTGTAATTTTCACTCAGAGGGACAAAGCAAAATAAAGCAATAAATCGAGACCACAGACTCCAGTCAAGAGATGTGAATTTTAATTCCAACTCTGTCATGTGCTATTTGATCACAGAAAAGTTATTAAAACTATCTGAATATTAATTCCCCCCTTTGTGAAATGAGGACGCCATGACTTACTTCAGGGGATTGTTTTGAAAAACTGTGTTCGGTTAGCTTGGTGTGTGGCACACAGTGAGTGCTCAGTGAGCACACTACCATGTCGCTCCCCCAAGGAGACAGCTCATTATTGGTTTTAGAAATTAGATGTTGATGCTTCAAAAGGTCATTGGAAGATCAGCCCAATCAAATTCGTATCCGGTCAGAACTCAAGAGCCCTGTCCTGTCAGACTGACTGCCCACTCTCGCAGTTTAAAATGACACCGTCCTTCTGGCGGACTGTGAGGCACAAACATCCTTCTCCAACCTTCCACACAACCTGCTGAACAGAAGTAACCCAATCAGGTTCTTCTGGTCGGTTTCCCTTTCCCGCCAGCTGTCAGCTTCTCAAAAGAAAAAGCTCCAGCAAGGTTGAGGTATCCTCTACACTCCCCAAATCAGGCTGCATTTATTTATCGTATCCCGGGTTTTCTCCATGGATGACCTATTTCTTAATTCCGCCTGCCCCTCCTGATACATAAAAGCCTCAGCGGTCTCCCTTTGAGAGAAAGGAGACAAAAAAGGAGGAAGTAATGAAAATCAAAGTGAAATAAAGTAGACATAAGAGAGTAAATGAGCACAAGAGACCCCGACCTTAGAAACTCGAGGACCTTGTGTGGAAATGCAGAGAGACCCTTTTCTCAGGCAAAGGTTGAGTGCTTTCTTGTAGAAACTAGCTTCATCTCGAGGCTAGCTAGCTAGTAAGTCCAGTTACAATGAGGGGGCTGCTGTGAGTCCACGGCTAAGCTCACCATTAAGTGAGCCAACAGGACAACTTAAGATTTCCCTCTCCAATTATGTAACTCAGGGGTCTCTATGCAACATCACAGTTGAGAAAGTGTTCTTGGCCAGAGAACCAGCATGGTGTCCTCATTTCTGAGGAACAGTCTGCTTCCTGACCACATACTCTGGCTCCATGGTAGGGACTGTGGAGCAGCTCATAACCTGCTAACAGCAGCAAGACCTGTAAAACTAGCAGCCACAAACTTCCGGAGAGCTGATGTTTCATGTCTCCTACTTAATCCTCACTCTAAGACTGCAAGAGGTCTTGCTGCCCCATTTTAGAGATGAAGGACCTGAGGCCCCCTGACATTAAGTAGCTCATCCAAATCCACGTGGTGGGGCTGGGATTCAAATCTTTATGATGTAATCTTTACGATGCCAGTACTGGACAACGCTCTCAAAACCTTGAACTCCAAAGTGCTCCTTTAAAGGGCATATCTGTGCCTTTTGTTTTTAAATTATTTCACTGCGCAGTCTTCTTATGGATGTATTTTTTTATTTTTAAAGATTTGATTTGAGAGTGAGAGAGCACAAGGAGGGGGAACAACCGAGGAGGAGGGAGAAGCAGACTTCTGATGCAGACTCCTGATGTGGGGCTCGACCCCAGGACCCTGAGATCATGACCTGAGCTGAAGGCAGACGCTTAACTGACAGAGCCACCCAGGCGTCCCTCATGGATGTACTTTAAAACATAATTTGGTTCCTTTAAAACAGCTTAGTGTTGGTCTTGGGTTGATAACTGTTGAAGCTGAGTGATAGGTATACGGAGGTTCATTATATAATTCTACTTTTGTTATGTTTTTGACTATCTGTAATAAAAAGTTTGGGTGGTTTTTGTTTTGTGTGTAGTTTTTGAATTGACTCTTTGGAAATTTGGGGGAGTCAATACGAATTGCTGGAGTGAGATTTCAACTCTCCTCGATCTCACTGAGCTACAATAACCCTGACCACCTTCTACGAACAAGCAACTCCAGGACTGTCCCTCCTCAGTGTTTGCACAGCCTTGTCACACTACCGCTGGAGCACCCACGGCAGGGGTGTCGGTCCCTTTTACATGGCAAGACCTGGCTGTTCAGAGTGACTTTCAGACGAAGGCAGAATTTTTCCCAGCCTCCACCCCACCCATGAAGCATGTCTACTCGGGCGTGGTAGATTTCCCAAGAGGCGGCAGGCTGCTGTGGAAGGTGGCGCCTGGCACCTCCACTGGGCTTCCTTACCTGTGACAGCTACCTAAGAAGTTTTTAGATAGAAAGATTGGGTTGGTCAGGACCACACCTCTGAACTTGCCAGAAAAAAACAAAAACAAAAACAAAAAACCCACAACATCCAGGCAAATAGTTCTAGATTTCTTACCTGTACCTCTTTTCTATCAATGACTTTCATTATTTCAACCCCTCTATTATTTTTTTTATGATGTTATCCACTTAGGCATAATTCCCTGGCTAAAAACAGGAAATAAGGGTCCACAGGAAAAAAAAAAGTAGGTGAACAGGTCATAATAATCCTTCCTGCTTTTACCTGTCACTCCCACAAGACAAACAGGCAGGCGGCACGTCGAACTCCTCCCTTTCCTGAAGGAAGGGTCAGACTGCGGGATGGGGGCCACCAGTGCTCCGCTAGGGAAAGGTCAGGAAATTCTGGCACTAGCCTCACAATGGACAGGTATCCTTTCGCATAATTAAGTTTTCCTTCTTATGACAAGAGAGGCTTCACTGGAAAAGGCTGGCATGTTCTTGAGTTGGGTCTCCTTGGTTAATGTTGTTTCCGTTGTGAGGTCTAAGCCTGGTCCCGGGACCCTGAAGGTAAAGGGCACAGCAGTGTCACCCAGCATGAACAAGTAAAATGAAAATAATTTTTCCCTTCACAAGTAAGGGGGAAACAAAATACTAAAAGCTGAAAATAAAGCAACAAACAAAACGGGTGAATGCATAGTAAAGAAAATAAGCCAAAGGAAACAGATAATTACTTACATAAAATATCCTAGAAAAATTTAAGCACACCCTCTATTCTGTCTACCACATTCCCCCAAAGCTAGGATAAACTGAGTGGTAAAGGATGGGCTTTATATGAAAACAAACAAAAAACACCATTCGAGTTCTATTGTTCTTTAGCATCAAGATTACTCTTCTTAAATAAAGCCAATTTGCTTATCCATCAGTTCATGAGTTTAGTGGTATCATCTTCATAGGCCTAAAGCCTAAAGTATGCCAAAATGTTAAAATGGAAAAAAACTAAACCGGTACTCACAAATTGGGGAGCAAGGTATAAAACTGACTAGCCAGAAACCAATTCCATGCCATGGTACTTCCAACTCAATAAATAGATTTTAAAATATATACATATATACAAATAATTTAAAAAGCAAAGTGAACACAGTAAATTAATGCATAATAGTAATAGAAAGGTGTATTTGGCTGGTTGAAAACAGGTTTCTAAAGAGTCCAACTGGCCAGAAAGCCAGGATCCAAAGTTATTAGTAAGAGTAAGGCACTTCTGGGGTCTGTGCTGTGTGGCACAATGGCAAGCAATTAACTCAAAACTCACCAGTAGTTTAGATATTTAATGGGTGGGAGCACATCGCCAAAGAACTCAGCTACATCTGAACACAGAAGGTGATAATTAATTTTAAAAAGTTGTATCGTTAATTCCAGGATGAATTTATTTCATGGAGAGAAAACAAAAAACCAACAGTATCATGATTTTCCTAGATACCACATAGCGACTGGTACTTTCATTGCTTTTTATGACATTATACCAAAAAAAAAAAAAAAAAAAAAAAGGGAAAGAAACCAACAGAAACATACCAAAGCATACCCCCATGCCCCTTAAATTAATAGATTTAAAATTAAAACTGGAAGCAAGTATTTGTTATACTTTGATTCAAACTCTATTTACAAATTAAATTGCACTTACAAAGATAGCAACATTTCTAATATGGTTATTTTGCTTTATTGTGGTTTTATATTTCAATATAAAACTTTTAAAGCTTTCTTCCATAAAAATCATACTTTCTTTTGCAGTACATAGTTAATTTATCCACTGAATTTCTGAACCAGTTTTCTCCTTTTGTGCTTTTCTCCTCTATTTTATTTTACAAATGGCATATACCTTCCAAACAGGTACGTACAATCAGATGCTGCACTCATTACAAGAGACTCATTCATAAAAAGTTAAAGTGTAAGACATGAAATATTAGCAGTCTAATCCTTTGGTTCCTCTTTTTTAAAAAAATCTATTGATAAAATTTACAAATTGGTGGTAACTCTTCTTTTTGGTTAAAAACAAATCCACCAGGTAGATTGCTGATTAAAATCCAACAATGCTTTAAAAGCACCACCTCTCCTAGTCTCATCTCACTGCTCATCGATGCCACTGCGTACAATTGGTTTGACATGATTCAGGATACAGTAAGGCACAAGTGGGTGGTACAAGTGAAAGCAAATACTTTAGGGCTGTTTTGTTTTTTTTTTTTTTTCCTGCACAAATGCTAAAATATGTACCGTTTCCAAGATAAAATAACAAAAAAGAAATACACATTTTTTGTTACGAAATACCTATACAAAATTTTTAAATTTACATCATCTGAGCTGCCAAAAAGTTTTTTAAAAAAGGATCAATTATGAGCCGTACATAAAACTATCTCTCATCAGTAGGTCCAAGAGAACTTGGGCTCAAAATGTCCCAGCACTTTATGGGAGGGAGGAGGATCAACAAAACTTCCCTTCCTGCGCTCCCTTACCCCAACATAAGACAGAAACAAAGGTCAGGCGTTTACAGTAGTGTATTCTACTTATGACAAATGACTGGAAGTCAGGGGAGAGGCGGCATACCGGGGATGCACTGGTGCCCTGGCTGGCTGAGGAGCCGGATTAAGGCACTTCCATGGGGACAGCAGCAGCCCAGCGTGCGGCCTGGGCCGTGATGCGCACGCGCCCATGTTCCGGGGCGGTGACAGGCACGCACACACGTTCCGGGGCGGTGACAGGCACGCACACACGTTCCGGGGCGGTGACGGGCACGCACAACGTTCTGGTGAAGCCCCAGGGCCACGCGCGGCTCCTGGGGAGGAGACAGGATCTCAACAGCAGGGGAAGACACGGGAGGTAAAACTCGGAGGTGAAGTTCTATACAGAAGTGGTCACTCGGTCAATGGCGTGATTGACCTCGTTTTTGTTTGAATCCAGTCCTTTAGCAGCATTCATGTCATTCCGTAAATTCTCCACTGTCTTTTTCATGTTCTTTAGCTCCCCTGGGTGTGGAGTGGCTCTCCGCAGAAGTGTTCTCTGAAAATAAGCAGGGGAGTGAGTGTGTGGGTTTTATGTCATTACTCTTTCAACAGGCAGCTTCAAGGTGGGGGCACTGGGGGAACAAAGCCTCCTTCTCAGGATGCAGGCGCTCGGAGGGGGCAGAAGCGCCTCCTCGGGAGCCCCGCATGCTGCTTTTCAGCTGCTCACTGGCAGTTCAGGGAGATGAAGGTGTCACGGGCACCTCAACTGGTCCACTTAGAAGGGTTACTTTCAGAATAAAAGAATACTCTGTAAAATATAAGATTAGCGTAAGATAAAAATTAAGTTCCATGAAGGGCAAGGAAATGAAGATTTTTAAGATGTTGGTGTGGGGTGTGAAGAAAGAAAAAGATAAAGGAGTAAACAAATTCTAACTTAAAATCATTGCAGTGGTCTACCACTACCTGAAGTGGATCTGGCTGCCTTCAACACGGAGGCATGGGAGTGGAAGGAAAAGGGAAGCGAGAGAGAGAAGAGCTGCTTTTCTTGGCCGCTATGTGTCTTATTTGTATTTACTAAAGAGAGTTCACATTTTTCTAATAAAGGCCACAGTGCTTGGAGTGAAGTGTCCGGGAAGGGACAATCTTTAAAAAAACTCTTATTTGACCTAGCAGGTGCTCTCTGGCTCCTAAGACAGCATTTCTGTCTATAAATGGCCTGTCCAAGGAGTTTCAGGAGGAGGAGCCTAAAGTACGGTGACACAACAGCCAAGAGCACTACTGAGACAGTGAAAGAACCGGTGAATTCCTCATCCTCCGGCAAGCCAACAGGTAAGCACTGAGGACTCCTTTCTGCTGAAGTCACTTTGTTGTGCCTAATTCCCATTCTGTGCTCCATTACTGTAAACATAAAATCCCATTTGGTGACAGCTGGAATAACAGACACCACAGCAGTCATTTAAAAGCCACCCTTTGCTTTGGAGGCTGTAGGTACTCCCTCTTAGCTCTGCTTATGAAAATCTCAATTAGCAAAAGGAGTTTAAGAAGCCAAAGTTAACATGTAATAATATTTCAAGAGTTGTCACAGACTCCTGAAGACATCAGCTGGCCGACAGACATTTTTAAAGTGTGGATAGAGTAAGGCTAAGTAATACCTTCAAATCTATTCCTGATTTTTGAATGAAAACTTGTAAGTAAACCCAACTAAGATCGCAAGCACTCTGCCTGAGGATGAAGAGAAGAATAATTAATTACATAAAGGACAGAGAGAAGGACAGAGAGAAGCACAGCTCCACAGAAGGTAAGCCAAGTAACACTCTGAAGTGCAAATGGAGTCATTGCCATACACCTCTAAATGGTGGTGGGGAGGAGACTTCATTCACCAAGAACAACAAAAACAGAAAACAAATTTCTGGTGCCTGGGTGGCTCAGTTGGTTAAGCATCTGCCTTGGGCTCAGGTCATGATCCCAGGGTCCCGGGACTGAGTCCCGCCTGGGGCTCCCTGCTCAACGAGGAGTCGGCTTCTCCCTCTGCCCCTCCTAGTGCTTATACACTCTCTCTCTTGCAAAAATAAATAAAATCTTAAAAAAATAATAATAAAAAAGGGGAAAAAAAAAACCCAGAGCAAATTCCCAGTTTGCTGGAGGCAAGAAAGGATGCTATCACAAATAAGGAACAAGAGTATAAAACTATTCCAAGAAAAAATCCCAAAAGGTCCATTTGCTTTATATACATTTGGTGAATCAGTACCTAGAAATACCTAATTTTGTCTTCTAAAAAATTCTTACATGCTGAAGGCTAAGCAGAGAACAGACAATTTGAAATTAAAAGAAATCCTTATTAGGTGCCACTATTGGTCTTGGAAGGCTTTTAAATTTTGCATTTTCAGGGAGGCCAACAATCTCCATTTCCATACCGTTTCATTGTCTTCTTCATCTCTCTCATCTTCCAAAAATCGGATTGCACTGACTCTGTTCACTGCACGCTCATTCCAGGCGTCATCCGGGACATCATTCACCAAGCTCTCGAGTGCCCCACAGCGAGGGAGGTTCTCTGTCAAGACAAAGACCACATCAGCGGGGAACCTGAGTTTGTGTGACTGGTAACTGCTATGTAGTATTTCAAAAAAATTAAAAAGAAAAGAATCTAGGACAGGGTTACCGTTTTTTTTTCTATTTTTTTTTTAATTCTATTTGAGATCATATAAAATATCTGCCAAACTAATGTTTAATATTTCATCACAGAATGTCATCATAATTTATAGAATCCTTTTTCACAATTCTTTTCTATAAGCTAACTTTAAAAACTTTATTGTGGTGAGGGGGTGCCTGGGTGGCTCAGTCAGTTAAACATCCAACTCATGATCTCAGCTCAGGTTTTGATCTCAGGGTTGTGAGTTCAAGCCCCCTGTTGGGCTCCATGTTGAGTATGGAGCCTACTTAAAAAGACAAGACAAAAAACAAAAAACCTTTCTCATGACACTGATGTAGTTGAACATGTTGGACTCCAGTACTTTCCTTAGTAACACTTCTGTTGTCTTCCCCTTGGGGTCTTAAAAGCTCCTCTAACAAGGTTGGGATTGGCAAAATGGCTTTGGGGCTTTTCCACCTAGGGGATTCCTGTTCTCCCAGTGCACTCTAGTTCTCTTTTATCAAAACCAACTCTCAGCAGATTTATAATGGCAATTTGATGTTAGTGTGAATATTTTTTAAAACCACACATAATTTATAAAACAAAGATACAATGACTTAAAATAACAGACTGGCCTAAAAACTATTTGTCATTGGGGGCACCTGGGTGGCTCATTCGGTTAAACACGGACTCCTCATTTCAGTTCAGGTCATGATTTCAGGGTAGTGAGATCAAGTTCCAGTCAGGTTCCACACTCAGTGTGAAGTTAGCTTGAGATTGCACTCCTTCTCCCTTTGCCCCTCCCACTCCTGCTCTATCTCTGTAAAATAAATAAATCTTAAAAAAACAAAAAACAAAAAAACCTGTTTGTCAGTGGTGTTCAATACTAATCCTCTAAACCACCAGTCTGGATTTTAAGGGACTCTGTCAACTTTTTTAAGAGTACTTGTGTTTTGGGGCGCCTGGGTGGCTCAGTGGGTTAGGCCGCTGCCTTCGGCTCAGGTCATGATCTTAGAGTCCTGGGATCGAGCCCCACATCGGGCTCTCTGCTCAGCAGGGAGCCTGCTTCCTCCTCTCTCTCTGCCTGCCTCTCTGCCTGCTTGTGATCTCTCTGTCAAATAAATAAATAAAAATCTTTAAAAAAAAAAAAAAAAAGAGTACTTGTGTTTTCAGTCTTAGCAATAATTCAAATACAAAAGGCTGTTTAAGAAATTTCAGATATGATAAGCAGGTGTGAGGGATACTTTTTCTTTGAAGGTACAGAGGAAAGAACCTTCCCAGAGGACATCCACAGTGACCTCACCCCAGGCTGGCTCTAGGGGCACATTAGACAAATTACAGACGCACATGGGAGTAAGAGGTCTTATGGATAGGTATTAGCTCCTACTAATTCTCATAGCCATGTGAGTATTGTTCTTAATTCACCTTGGCAAGTAGGTTCAGAAGGCAGCTGAGGAAGCAAGACACAGGTCAAAATCTTCTCTCCTGTGGTGTGGTCTGTGTCCGTCTGGAACGTGAGTAGGGGCTGCGACTGGTTGTCAGACAACCACAAAGCCTTCAGCTTCAAGGCAGTCAGGGATAAAGGCAAATGTAACAGCCTAATTTAAAGCAAAAGAAGACATCAAGGTCTCAGATTTTATAATTACATCAATTCCTATCAATACAGAAAGAAAATAAAAACATTACAAAGAACCTCCTGGGATTGGATTCAACATGGAACAAGATACTGTGTTTATAATAAAACCCTCGGTGTACTCTTTGTGAGCACACTCAGTCTGTCACTGTGCTTCTGCTGTCCTCTCTCTCATCAGCACCTTTGGCCACAGGGCAAAACATTAGGAGGTTTCGATTTAAAGAGAAAAAAAGCCAGTCTGACCATGGAAGGACGCAGTAGCAGGAGTTCTTACTGAGTCAATGGCAACAGCCTCCTTGACGAAGGCCTGTTTTCAGTAGCACCTGGCAAAAATGAGGAAGAGTGGAAGGAGATTCCTGGGGTGCTGAAGAGTTCAAGTGGCAGTTATAATAAAGATGAAAACATTTTCTTCCTACACTGCATTTTCTTTGTCTAAGGAGATTATTTTAGGTATCCATCTTAAGCTTGTATCTTCTAGTTTCTAGAAACCTCCACTTCCCCAGACTCCTATGGGATAGTTAATGTCCACTTCACATTGTTTCAGTTTCAAGTGAGATCATATGTATTAAAGCACTTTAAAAACTGTAATGTGACACCTAAAGATTAATTCTATATTAATGTTAGCACACATGTCTGACAAAGTGACTGCACCTAGTTAACTCTATTTAGCAAAAACCAGCACCGGGAATCATATACATTTGTTTTCACCAAAAGACTACTTTAGTGCGGTGGTTCTTAACCAGGGACGCTTCTGCCTCAGGGACATCTGGCAATGTCTGTAGACATTTCTGGGTGGTACTCTTGGCATCTAGTGGGTAGAGGCCAGGGATGTTGCTAAATATCCTATAATGGTTAGGAGAGCCACCACATCAAAGAATTATCTGGCTCAAAATGCTAACAACGGCTAGGGGTGAAAAGACTGCTTTAGTAAAAACCAATGCCTTATACAAGTCTACTAATGCACTATGAAAACAACCAAACCTCTGCAGATACCAGGAATTTAAGGTTTAATGAATCTAAGGTTGTATTTGATCAAGTATTTTTACTCTAAAGATGGCTCCATGTGCATTAAATTATAATCTCAGCAGTGACTTTACAAGCTGGACAGTAATGAGCTGACTGCATTCTGTGAGCCACAAGATAAGGCACATTTTCTTAAAGAAATCCTTGGCTCATCCGTAAAGAAATCACATGGCAGCATTTATTTTTGGAGCTTTTTTATGAACTTGCACACCTGTCTCCAGTTTAACACATGTGGGAGGTCTACATGTACAGCTTACTTACTGAGAAATCAATACTGCATTATCAGACATAGATGCCACTCTGAATGGGCAGGCTTAAGGAAAATTAATTCGAACTCTATGTAGGGAAATGAAGAGAAGTTGTACTCCAATATTATTAAACTAATCTAAATAAAATGTAAGCACAGAATGTTATTACTTTAACAAATGAAGTAAAAATTATCAAAGAGTACGTGGAGTGTTAACAACAAATGCATTATTAACAAACTTCCAAAGAACAAATTAATATCATTTACAACATATTTCCAATATACTAGTTATGGAGATGACAAAATATTTTCTTTTCCTAACAATTAGTCCAGCAAAGGTTGGCCCATCCCACGCATACGTACTGGGTGCAGTACTGAGTCAGTGGAATTGTACCTTACGTGGGAGTTAGGTTCTAGAATTAAGGCATCCATGAGACCTGCATATGTTAAAGTACCCTTGAGAAGTCTCTGTGTATCGTATACTCTAGTGCTTTGCTAATAAGGGCCAAACTGAGTGAGAAATACATATTTTTAAATCCCAGAATCTACCGAGTTCAGTGATAGGCTCACACTATGAAGGATGCCCAAGGGATCTGAGGAAGCAGGCCTTTACAGCTCCACTTCCTATTCTGAGATGTTGGGTCTTCGAGTGAGATAGAAAGTGAAATCTCTTATGCTTATACAAAAAATTATTCCTGCCTCTGCCCAAAGGCTGTCACACATTTACCCAAATGTAAGGAAGTTAAAGACAGACGTGTATTTGCCAGATCTGATGACAGGGATTTTTTTAAAACAATATCCTAGCACACTGTGAAAGCGTTAAGTACTTTAAACTCTTTTTCATTTTAATGAATAAAGGGATGATTCTTTTGAAAGTTTCAGGGTCTTACACAAGAAATTTACAGTCAATATCTCTAGATTTCTTAATCATAAGAGCATAAAGAAAAAAATAGTTGAGATTTGAAAACTGGCACAAAACACAAATACTCAAACATGGTCATTGTATCTTCTCAGAATAACAGGCTTTGCAGCTAAGTGCTAAATAAAGCAAAGGCAAAAATAAAACACTAAACAGTGCATCAATAATAAGTAACAGCTTCTAAGGATAGCAAATCATATGATAAAAGTTAAAATAAACTACTAGTCTCTACAACAACAGATCTTATAATCATATTCAACCAAGCCATATAAGATTAGTGACTTGTCTGGAACACCAGTTTCCCCATCAAGAATCAGTGCCAGCTTGAACATGGCTGCTGCCAACTGAGCACACACCTCTGGAACCTTCTGTATACTGCAGACTCAACACAAGAAACCACAGCCCTATTTGTACACATCTCACATCTCCCTGTTTTATTAAGGACCACATCCCCTCAAAATAAAAAGCTTGTGGTTACTATTTATATCAATGGTACAAGGACTAAAGCAAACGAATAACCATACCATGAGCTATGTCTCTCATTTCCAATTAAATCCCTGACCAACTAACCTGAGGTGACCTTCCCCACCTCCGCACTACTGTAGCAACTGTGCTGTCAAATTTACTTAACAACTACACATGGCCTACTGACTCGACCTATAGTTGCATGCTTCTTACAGCTGAATGTTTCATCTTTCACCTCCTACTAGAATTTTTAGTTCTCAGCAAGTTTTCAAAACTGCTTAAAGATATGTAAAGAAAACATATCAGTGGGAAAATTTAACTAGTACTAAAATATCTAAAGGGAAAGCCCCCTGTAACCTCAGGCCTCCACTCTGCCTCTACGGGAACTATTATTAATGTTTTGTTATAATACATAGATAGGTTGTTTTAAAAGCAAAAACAAAAATGAGAATGCTGTGTTATGTCCAATAGCTATTCTTCTTACTTGGTACCATGGGCATCCTGTGTTACTACACAGAGAAATTATGTCACTCTTCTAACTACTTACTATTCCACAGTACAAGTACACTGCTATGTTGTATTTTGCCTTTTAATAGTTTTTCTCCATTTTACTGAGCTATAATTGCCATGTAACATTGTGTAATTTTAAGGTGCACCTGAGATGATTTGATACATTTATATATTCCCAAGTGACTATCACAGTGGAGTTTTAGTTAACATCTCCATCCAGTCACATAATCACCACTTTTCATGCATGTGCGTGTGTGTGTGTGTGTATAGCCCATTCAAAGATCTATTCTCTCAGCAAATTTCAAGGATATAAGGCAGTATTAAGTATAGTCACCATGCTATACATTAGGTCCCCAGAACTTACTCATCTGGTAACTGGCCAGTTTGTACCCACTGATCAATACCTCCCTACCTCCCCTGCTCTTAGCACATGGTGACCACCATTCTACTCTCTATTTCTAGGAGTTTGGCTTTTTTAGATTTCATATGTAAGATCATACAGGATTGTCTTTTTTTGTGTGACTTATTTCACTTAGCATAATGCCCTCAAGGTCCATCTATATTGTCATAAATAACATGATTTTCTTCTTTCTTAAGGCCGAATAATATTCCATTATATGTATCATACCGCATCTTCTTTATCTGTTCATCTGCTGATATTGTTTAGGTTGTTTCCCTATCTTGGCTACTGTGAACAAGAGAGCATAGATCTCTTTGCAATATCCTGTTTTCTTTTCATTTGGCTATATGCCAGAAGTGGGATTGCTACAGCATATGATAGTTAAATTTTTAATTTTTTGAGGAACCTCCATACTGTTTTCTCTAATGGCTACACCAATTTACATGCCCACCAGCAGCAGGGAACAAAGGTTCCCTTGTCTCCCCATCCTTGCTAACACTTGTTATCTTGTTTTTTTTTAAATAACATCCACTCTAACAGCTGTGAAGTAATATGTTTTAATATTTTTAAATTTAATTTTTGGGATTATAAAATTCAAAGGTACAAACTATTTCTCCATTGACAGCCACTGTTTCTAGTATTTGGTACTACTCTCCCTCAAAGATTCTCAAATACTAGATATTGTGTAGTGGGGGGGATAGTCCTATGGGAAAGAGTAAGAATTAAGGAAATGGATTCTGTGTCCATGGGTTACTGATGATAAAAGACATCTTCTCTGTTACTGTACCAAAAGATTTGATATTTGGTTTCCAAGTGGCATTTTATAGTTACCCTATCAAATATGTCGAAGAAAATTTGTGGAAACTAATATATAGTCTGTGTTATTTGCTATTTTTACATGCTTGAGAGAAGAGGCAAAACTTCTGTTGTATGTGGTATGATTTCCCATGGTGTAACATTTCTGTAAGCTAAAAAGCTGACATTGTAGCCTTTTTTTATTAGTTTCTATACTAATACTTTAAGTAAGTAGTAATTAAATATTTTAATAGGTTTAAAATTTGGTTATGAATCTGTATATACATGTGACACATTAAACTGACTCAGATGACAGATACGTAACTCTACTTTTTAATGGGGTTTTCTCCACCCCAGCCCAAGCATAATAAAAATTCAACTTTCCCTTCTGAGAACTAGAGATTAGAGCCTTCACTCATGTGAAAAACAGTTTTCAGGCCTCAGAGCCATCTTCTGCTCAGGAATTAATGATGCAATTTCATGCTCACAGGTGTGGCAAGAGTCTGGGAAGGTTGGGAGTTACTGAGTTTCTACTGCTGGAGTTTAGGAAAGCACAATCCTTCCCAAGCTTTATGCTGCACACGAGACTCCATTCAGCAGAAAGTCAACACTCAACTCAAATTAATCCTGAGTTTCTAGTAACCAGTCAGTGGTTTAAGAATCTATCAAGATGTCCTAAAAGCCTTCACTTGAAAATGGTGGGCCCCCCCTAAGGTTCACTGAGTCCTGCTATTTATTAGCGCCACAACCTACAATCCATTGGCCAGCATGAGAAACGGTGGCTTGTGTCTGACCTAAGTGACCAGTTAATTAGCACTTAGCACACAATCCCCCAAACACTCTTCCGACTGCTGTTGCTATCTCTCATTTAAAATCATTGATCATTTTCCCCTGGCTGGGCACTTTTCCTCCTATCTATGTAACACTCGAAAGCATTTTTAAAATTCCTTTGGTGATGCAGCCTGTGATACAAGGTATTTCGCAGTGGCCACCTATTCACTCTGCAAAACTAACATTTTTAACATTTTCATTTGGGTGACAAATATTTACCAGGTTCTATCATGTACCAGGCACTGTGCAGGGATAAAAGGCACAGTGGCCCAGATACCACATCTGACGTCACACAACTTTAGGTTTAGACATTCACACACGCATAGGCTGGCAATTATTATATGGTGCTGTGAGTCCTATGTTAGGGGGAATTCAAAGAAGCAGGCTCCATACAAAGAAAGCTCCCTGGAGAAAATGAAAACAGCAGTGGGAATCAGAGAAGAGGGTCTCAGGCAGAAGGAGTAGCTGGGCTAGGCTCCGGGGAAAGAAAGGGCACATGCAATCTGAGGTGACGAAGTTAGTTCAGACTGGCTGAAACAAATCTATATTCTACACAGGTGAACAGAAGGCATATTCCAAAACCAGGAAGTGGTCTACCATGACCTCTCAAGCACAACTTGAAAAATGGTACTGCTGTGACCTTGGGGAATACCAGTTGGGTCGCTCTTCACTTTGATTATGACCACTTGGTGATTCTGACATTAGCCAGAGATCCTTTGGCCAGAAATGTGCCCCCGAATACAATTTTTACAATTTCAGGGGGTTCAAAATCACCAGCAAGGTATATCAAGATCCCTGGTTAAAATACAGTTCAAACTTGTTGAAGCTCATTCTTCAGATAAGGAAACCCAGAGGCGCATGATGACTTACAAAAGCTACAAAGTTAAGGTAAAACCTAAGTATCCCAGTTCTCAGGCAGCACTGTTTCCCTCACATCACTGTACTGCTGTTCTGGGAAGCATTTCTACAGAAGGGTCTACTTAAATGTCAAAGTGCCTCCCACTCAGGTCATCCCTGACTTCTTCTACTCCATCCAGCTCCATCACTCCTGCTCTCAGATTAATAATTTTTTGTGTCCTGGGTCATTCAACTAATTAGTACATATTCTATAAGATGGAGCAAAGGCAAGATGGCAAAGACACATGACAAAGGTTGGGGTGAATGAACATTTGGTTCTTTTTCTCAAAAAAAGCAAACCAGAACATGCTTACCTGTTCCCTGCCACATCCAGGACATGAAGCTCTGTGGCCTGCGACACCTCTGAAGGTATCCGAGTTAGTCTGTTGTCACGCACACAGAATACAGTGAGGCTGCAGCACCCTCCAATCTACAATTAGAAAGAAAATACATCTTTTTTCCAGGTTTTTTGTGAAAGATGGTGGTGGGACTGGAGTATCTTGTTTGTCAAATGGCATGAAAAGGACACATAAAATGATACCACATGATTTTAAGTTTCACTGAGACCAACTATGATTAATTTAAATCATACAAAACACTAAGTAGTCCAGTAAGTTCATAAAAATCTCAGCAATGCATTAAATGTATATGTTCTAAATTAAATCAAGAAAATAAACAGTACAGTTCAAAAAAATCTCATTCTGAAAAGCAAGTCATTTTCCGTTGCTATCTAATGCAATTGTATTTTTTAAATATGTTAACTAGGCTACCCAGGTCCAGACAAATATTATTTGGTAATATAGGTAATATTTGGTAAATATTATTTGGTATATTAAGAATTCTGTTTCAAAAATAAGGCCAAGAATGATACATACACACCCCTTCGAAGACCTGCCCATTATATTATATTAAATCCAGTGTTCCCAGTGTCCCCAGTTCATTTCAAAAAAAAAAAAAAAAAAAAAAAACAAAACAAAACAAAAAAAGAAAAAAGAAGGAGGAAAAAAAGGATACTGGATAGACAATACAGTACATTAATTTTCAACTATACATCTTTTAACTACTTTTGGTCACTCACAGCTTAATTTAGTAAATATGTTATTCATTTCCCTTTCACAAAATCAACAATATTTTAGCAAAAACTGAATGTGGTAAATACACATATTAATCTGGTAAACTTAATGCTTGTAGAAACATTGATATCTACATCCACGACAAATTTGATTACTATTTTTTTATTTATTTTTAAAGTCAGCGATTCAAAGATAATTGAGCTTTGTATGAGCCTGGTTTTCAAAAAAAGAACATAAGCACAAAAGAACTGAATCAGTCTCTTGAGCAAACTGGCCAGGGTTTCTATGGTCAGGAAAGCTGAACCAAAGGGATGGAAAAATAACTCAATCTCAGACACAACATTCTGCAGGACTCCATACAGTACTACATTCTTCCTGTACTCACTATCCTGACCCAGAGCGATTGCAAGCAAAGGCTCATGAAGGAACCTATTGATGTCTCTCTGACACATGGAAAAATACTCCACAGCTTCCCACTTGAGGAGAGGCAGAAGACTTGCATCTTCAATTATATCTGAGTACATCTTATACCCTTTTCTATGTATACATATGTTTAATACATGTATATACCTTAAAAAAGCAGAATGCATATTTATGAAATTGCTACATAATTACCTTCATGAACAATCTTACTATGTCTTCCCCTAAGAGTTAATATAAAGACTTGAGATCATGTATTTAACCACAGTATTTAACCATAATGGATGTAAAAGAAAAATAACATGTAAGAAAACACGAACTAACATTTGTCTAAAATGGATTACACCCAGATATGTAGAAAGGCTTTTAGATTGTCTCCATGATCTCTCAGTGTTCACATTTCCCATCCCACCAACTGGTGCATTTACTACCCTCTAAAACGTAACATTTTGATTCCACTGTGTCTTACAGAAATGCTCTTTTTTTTCTGTCCTTCTAAATCTTATCAACTGTCCAGAAGTAGCTAAACATCCTCTACACCATCGAGTCTTCCCCAAACCCCACAGTCCACACTGATAGACTGCTCTGTGTTTCATTTGCAGTTATGGTCTATACAAACCCTCTGACAGATTGTTTCACTGAGTTAACTTGCACATGTCCATATAACCACAGTGCGTGGTAAGTACAGTACCCATCCTACCCACTCATCAACTTTTCTCATTTAGATATGTTTATATGCTTATGTTTATTTACTTACTAGTGAAAGGCTGCTACTTGAAGTTAATATCTCCTTCTATGTGTAGAAATGAAAACCACAAAACTCTTTTTAAGAATCATTAGAGAGGGCTCTCTTAGGTTTTAAAAATGCAGGGCCCCAATATCATGCCCTGAAAGAGATCTACAATAGGATCTTTAAGGGGCTTGGCTTTCTTCCCTCTTGAGGAAGGGAATCATTAGTTTTACTCAGATGCCCAGGAATATTATGGAAGGAATCTAAGCTTTGAATGAAGATAGAGGATAGATATGATTAGATTTTCTCTGATAAACTGAGATGATCCCAACAAAGATCTATTCATGGGAAGAAATCCCCAAGTTCCTCATGGAGGGGAACCCCCCGTGACTCTGCTCCCCATGCACTGGCTCTGGGTTCAGTGGTGGGTCTGTGTGCCATGTGGGAGGTCTTCCAGGTCAGCATGGGGCTGAGGCTGGACCTCACCTTAACCTTATCATCCTGGCCTGCCTTTAACACAATAAGATTTATCTGTACACCAGGGAGGCAAAGCAGTTATGCACATAGACAACCCTCACAATGGCAAAATTAACTACTGGAGCGTGTACAGAACTGAGATTGCATCATAACTGTGGGCACTTTGTCAAGAAGCTGTCCACTGCTCCAGCCACCTATTGGATATCTGTTTGGGGCCCTAATACTATAGCATGTGAACGTTTTCAATTTGTATCATGTACATATACTACCTATTAAAAATTAACTCATTAAAATGGGTCAGAGAGGGCTCTAATAGCTGTTGAAGCAATAAAAGTTCTGGACAAGTAAATACCTCTTAAGACTCTGGGAGAGGGATAATGTGAATTCCCAGTGGAGTGCGTGAGCTATGTACTGTGTTTACATCTCATTTATTTATTTTTTCTTTTTCTTTTCCCATTCTAATCTCAAATCCATTTGAGACCTCAAGGAGTGGAAAACAATTGTATTCAAGAGCCTGCTAGGCACTCTGGGTTGTCACAGCAGGCAGAGTGACCTCCTGATCTCCATTGTCGAAGGGTTTCGGAAAACAATGAAACAATGCCCACAAAGAGAGAGTGTTATTGCCAGTGTGCCGGGATGCCTTCATCACCCTCAGATGCACGCGCCATCCCAGGCAAAACAGTGCACAAACAGAGACCTTTTTCCAAATCATCCAGGAAGGGATGGCATGAGCCTTTGGCTTTGAGAAAAGATTATTAAGCAGTAAAAACCATAATTCAAAAGGTACAGTTTTCACAGACATCAGAGGGGAACATGGAGCCCTGGAATGGATGCTCTGGGATCACACAGACCTGGGCTGGACCTGAGGCTCAATCCTGTGTTTCGTGTGTTTGACTATGTTACTTTAACCAAAAGTAACAATCAGGATTCAATTAAATGAAACCACAAACACAATTTAGCACCTATCATAGAACCTGGTGTAGTAAATGTGGCTGGCAAACCAATATGATGGTTATTGTCTTTTCAAGAAGTCAAAGTCCTGGATCCAAAGGACCAGGTCAGTCAACACTTGTGTGCCTGCTGTGTTGTTGGAAGTGTGCTGACGTTGTTGAGTTCCTCCCAGAACATCCCTGACCTTCTTAAAAATCTCTCCCTTGCGAGGCATCACGGTGACAAAATGACAGAATGTCACTGTGTTAAATACTAGGGATAAATACACTGTGACTTTACTGCTAGTGAAGCACCGGTGTGATCTCAGTACTGTAGGATACATATGGCTCATGTGTGTTTCTGCTTTCTCTCTCAGGTCCAGGAGGTAGTTTACCAGGTCCTTAGTGATCGTCAGAATAAAATGCCTGTACCATTTAGAAATTCTGGGAAGCAGAGTCACTGTTTAAATAACTTATTACCATCTATGTAGGAAGCTGATATTTTTATACTTCCTAAAACCACATAATAGTACCTTCCCAGAATACAAGGGGTTGGACTTGGAGAACTACAGAATGTAGCTGAGAATCTTTGTTTTGCTGGTTTGTGTATCTTAATTACAGATGATACCTTCCTTCACTGTTTGGACCTGATTGAACCCATCTGGAGGAGATGGGACCTGCCGGTCATCTGTGTTACCTGTTAATTGCCTGGAGGTGACATTATTCAAGAGGAGATAATCAGTCAGTGATCCAAAGAGAAAGCCTGTACTAGTCATCATAGCCTACCTATATTCCATTTTCTGAACACCTGCCCCAAGTGTGAAGAAACTTTCATTTTTCCTTCAGTATTGGCCTTTTAATATTCTGTGTAACAGAATGAAACCCTTATTTCACTGGCAGAAAGGGAAACGAACAATAAATGAAATCTGGTGAAAATACAATTTGAGCTGTAATAATATGGTGAGTAATTTTAGAAAGCAAAGACTGTTTTTTGCATTTCCCATCATCATCTGTGGCATATTATTCGAATGTTCTTATTTCATAAATATTCTGAAAATCATGTGGCTTTGGGACTTCTGAATTGTTGGGCCACTGACATCAAAATATCCACTAATAATTACAGCATTTTTCATTTCTAATTATAAAACAGTAAGTTACGTTGATTGGAAAATAAAAACCATAAATACGCACATGTAAAGGCACAAGGAAAAAACTAAGACCAAATCCTACCCCAAAGGGATAATCGGTATTAACATTCTAAAGTACAATCTTTCAGTATTATTGCCACGCATTTGTGATTTCATATATATATATATATATATATAGTGATTTCATATATATATATATATTTTACATATAAATTTTATACACGCGCGCGCACACACACACACGCTTTGATGAAATTAGGAGCAACACTATGATCTTCAGCACTTCTGTTTACATATGACATCAGGAATGTCCTCCCACATCAGTATGTTTCTACAAGGACTTTTATTGACCACATAACTATTTCATTCTACAGATGTCTTACAAATCACAAATCTCCCACGTAAGACACTGCTAGTTGGTTCTACCATTTTGTGTAATCTTGGGCGAGTTACTGTAGCTGAGTCTGGGTTTCCGGGTCTTTTGGATGTTGATAACGACTTACCTATACCTCACAGGACTGTTGTGAAGATTAGACACGGATATGGAGGAAAGCACAGTGCTGGCCACATATGAGTTGCCCCTACATCTACATGAGAAATAGCCTTTTGCCTGGTTTTCCTGTGTACCACAACTGTGTTCCTAGGACAAAGCCCTAGAAGTGGCATTGCAGAATCAAAGGGTATGAACACTTTCAAAGGTTTCAATATTACTGTGTTCCCTTCCAGAGAAGATGTAATAATTTATACTTCCCTATCATTTATGCATTTTCCCATACCCTCGCCAGCATTTGTCATCATTTTTTTTTAATCTTGACAAGTTCATAGGTCAAAAAGTTTCCATTAACATTTCTGTGAATGCTGATGGTGCTAAAATTTTTTCACATCGATAATCATTTCTATTTTTTCTTCTCTGAATCACTTATTGCTTATTGTGATGGGTTTTTTGCTTCAATTTGTCTACTTTTCTCCAGTGGAAACCTCTTTTTCTTAATCATTGGGAAGCATTTCAAGTAGAGTGAGGCAAGACCTCCTTAATCTGTAATGTTCTAAGTGTCCTCTGGCCCTCAGGTGTCTCTACCTTCTTGAAGATCAGAAATCTAATTTTCATGTAGACAAATCTATCAACTGGGTTTTGTTTTTGTTTTTGTTTTTTTTTAACACTTCTTTCCACTTTCAAGTTTGAAAATGCCTTCTCCATTTTGAAATCCAATGGCCAACTATGTTTTATTCTTGTATTTTTAGGTTTTACCTTACCCCTTTTAGCAATAATCCATTTTAGAATATGATGGAAGTTTACACTAAATTGTAATAAGAAGACAGAAAGCTATTCATAAAACGAATTCTCTCTCTGAAAATCAAAATATTTATGGGTAATTAACATTTACAGAGTGCCTGTTTAAAAACAAAAACAAGATTTGATGAATGATCTGTAAATCCTATCTTTTGACTGCGTAAGTGTGATGAAGTCAAGATCACTTTCATTTTGACTTAATGGAGACAAAAGACTAGACTCTAAACTTGGACACATGCTCAATTTCTTCCAGCCAGAAACCCTTTAAATGGTGCAGATTATTCAAAGGTAAGATTTGGCTGGGGAATGTTATGAAGTTACTGGCTCTCTTTCCTCATACCCACAATCACACATAACTAACTCTCTGTCTGTCCACACATCACACAACACGGTCTCTTTTTAATTCTTCCCTCCACCAAAAACATGCGTTTTTTAGGGAGCCTTCTTTCCCCCCAGAAGCATACACACTTACATGACAGGATGAGAAATAAAAGACACAATTAAGTTGCTTGAAAAATCAGAAGCATGCCACATGTAGCAAATAAAGCAAATCTAGCCTTCCCATTAGAGAGAGAATTGTGCTGCCAAACTGGAATTCAGTGAAGACAGATGAGCTGCCACGTTATGCCTTTTGGAATTTCTGAATAACTTAAAATGTAATTTCACAGAAAAGCATTCTTTTGGGAGAGAACAATCTGAACAAACCTGACAACTGACAAACACATAACAAAATAAGGTTCCAGGCCATGCAGTCATTTAAAAGAAAACAAAAACAAAATTGCGTTTAAAGGAAAATGTCCAACATTTTACAATGAGGAACACACAAAGCAGTCAGTTGATTTGAAATCTTCATGCATTTAAGAAGCAAAATGGAAGTTAGAGATGCAACTATGGTCTGAACAATACTTACAAGATAACAAGTTTACCCGACTTTCCTAAATTTCCAAGCAGCTAACAATTAAGAAAACAAGAGACATTCATTGATTTGCAAATGTTTACTACAAATAACACCACAAAACACAAACAGAATCTATAATTGTGACCCACACAGTACATTTTCCCTCATTTGGGAAAAACAAACAAACAAAAAAAAAACAAATAAATGTTGCCAGAGACTAAGGGGCCGTGCTCTAAAACATGATATATACTAGTATCAAATTAAAGAAAGACAAAAAATAGAAAGAACTACATGGCACACAGGACCAATCGCAACTAATACAACTGTGGGTTTGGGGCATATATATTGAATCGGTCAGCATTTCGGTTTAGATGTGTCATGCATGCAACTTGATTATTCAAGAGAGATTAGTAGAGTTTTGCAAGTGCAGAATCCAATCATGGAAAGTACAGGATATGATCGAATGGTATCAAGCTTGGAGGCAGAGCAAGTACACACACACACGTAGTCCCTAGGCCCAGCCCCGCTCCCCGATTCCACACACATGCACACACACGCACGTGTGCACGCGGTTACGGGGCCTACCACACTCACGCACTGCACAGACTCATGGCACAGCTGTGCTGTGCAGACCAACACGACACACTTCACAGTCAGGTGGCCTACAGTGGTCCGGCTGTTCAGCCCCGATGGTCAACAGCAAGCACTCAGCAGCCGTTTCTACAGGGTCACCACCGTAACCCACAGCAGAATTAGGGGCATGGGCTCAGCGCATTTTCCTACCCTGGGAGGTGAGTGTGTATGAGTAGCAATGAAGGTATGTTAGAAGAGAGCCAGTTCCTAAAAAGCTCAACTCTCTCTGCTTCCTCTCCCAGCTACAGGAAAGGGCACAGACTTTATTCAGTTATCAGACTCTACATGCCAGAAAACTAATCACAATTTCAAGGAGAGCAGATAATATGTGACAGCGAACTAAAATGCATTAAAGCTAGAACTACTTTCATACCATGTCCACTTCCCACATCATGAAATGCCATTCTAATAAATTTACACAGACACACGGCACATGGTGGGTATATCCATCCGAAGCCTGGGTTTCATTCTCTTAAAATGTGAAGAGGACAGATGCTCACATGAGGATAGATGCTAACATGATGGCAGTAATTTTACACAAAATGTTAAAGTTGTGCTTAGGATGTATTCCTTTGCAAGAGAATCGGAAGAGGGGCATAGGGAACTGGGTGGGGAAACTTCCTGGGAGATGGACATTCAACTCCCAAGTGCTCTCTTCAGCACTAACCTTGAAAATGTTCCTGAAATGTATTAATTTTATAACATGTCCAAACGAAAGACTGTCTGACCTCTCTTTACCATCTTAAGGTCCTGTCTTACCTCAGGGCCACATGTGGAAAGGCTAGACTACGTCCGTATGCCCTGAGTGGCCATACTTTCCTTGGCCTGTGGAACAATAGTTAGCAGGCTGTCGGGGGACACATCTCTGGAGCCCATTCTACCGACTGCTAGCTATGTGAGGCCTGCTAAGGAAGGATTTCCACCGGCCTTAGCTTCTTCATCTGGAAAATGAGGAACTCTGGCTTACGACCTCAAAAGCTGTTGTGAGGATTCAGGGAGTTAACAAACACGACAGCACCGAGCACAGGACGCGGCATCTAGAAAAAATGTAAGAAATCTTTTCTACTTCTCTGTGCACGTGTCTACCTGTCCAGTCTGCTACCCATTCAACAAGAATAAAATCAATATTCAGAATATCAGCCCTGTGTTTTGGTTTATCACTGTGAGACCAGAACCACAATGTTCTGATTCGCAGAATCTCTTACTTGTGTCCCAGTTTAGCAGAGGTGTACTGAAGTCTTTCTGTGGGGAACAGTTTTATTTAAGTGCCAGTGCTCAGAGTAAGGGTGGGTCAGAATATGGTCACATTTATGATAAATACCCTCCCTTGCTTCCTTTCGGGAACGTTGGCTGTCTTGCCCGGGCAGAAGACTGGGAGACAGTGGGTGTAGTGCCACAATGAGGGGAGAGAAAGAGAAGCCAAGCAAAGCTCAGACACCCTGGGAAGGGCCCTAGGAAAACAAGAACCCGCAAGTTCTGGCTGGTGGGATGGTAGATTTGAAATTATCCCAAGAAAAATAAAACAAAATAATAAAAAATATAAACAAATAAAATTATCCCAAGAGAGATGTTGGAAAGGGTCAAAACAGAGAAAGGAAGGACACTGAGCCTGGCCAGGGATCCCATCACACGATATCACACCTTTTCATGTGAGACCTAACAAAGGGGACGGGGCTCACCGACATTTGATGGGGGTAAGAAAGGCAGCTGAACTGAGTTTCAGGCTAATGGTTAACAAAAAAATCAACTACCCATCTCCCAGTTCCCCTAGTTCTAAATAGAAGGTAAGCCTTTTGTTAAATATCACACATGCGTCTTTGTTTCATCTGCTCTGGGTCCCCTTGTTTTCAGCAATTCCCTTGCCAGGACTGAAGTGCCTCTACATCTGTACAACTAGTCCCCACAATGCCTGGTGATGGGCTCTTCTCTTGGTTGGATCACTGACAGGGAAAAAAAAAATCCTAAGAATCTGGCTATAGCTTCCCATTCACCTCCCTCCATGTGAATGCCTTTGTGAAGAGTTCGTTCGCTCTCTCCCAGATATGAACACTGCTCGGTATCAATCTCTGTCCAAGAAAAGGGTTGCATCAAGATCCACTTTTATAATTCCAGTGGCTTAGGAAGCAGTTTAATTTCACATTAAACTCAGACCCAACGTTATCCGCTTCCTCTGCTAAACCCCCAAGTTACCTATTTCTGTCAATGGTTTTCTGTATGGCAAAGCCAGAAATGTCAAATCTCTCCCACTTTTAAATCCTATCAACTCACCTTTCTCAAATGCTCATAGTCATCTGGACTCGCCTACCCTCTTTAAAGTCACTGCTGATGGTTCTTTGATATAATTCCTCCAACCATCTATATGCTCACAAATGAGAGTACATAACATTTAAAAAGCACCACATTAAGTCTTTTAAAATGTGTGACACTTTTGATCTCCTGTGTGCTATTATTTCTTTATAATCATTATTGTTTTTTTAAAGCACATACCTCTTTTGGTAAAGACACTAATTTATTTCTGTCTGCATTCAAGTTGCTCAACTTCTTAAGTTTTCCAATGCTCTTAGGTAAAGTCTGTTAAAACAACATTTTAATTATTAATTTAATACATTTTTTTAACATGACTCACAGTAAAACAGATCTTTTCAAGGATTTAAAGAATATAATCTCATCCACTAAGAGACATAATTGTTCTTTCTGAATGTCAGATAGGTCAAAGCTCACTTGGAAGATGTAAAATTAAATATTCTATATTTTTGTTAAAACCAGAGTATGTTTCAATGAAATGGAGTCAAAGGCATGGGCCTGGAAACAGAGAAACACCTAGTAAAGAGGTAATGCTCTTCAACCTAAGTAAAAATTTGTACCTCAAGATTCATCGTTCATTGCCTGCACCTTTGAGAACCACACTGGGAGAATGGCTTGGATGACCTGGAAGCCAGAGGGCTGGGGGGACCAGAATCCAAAGCGGGGTGCTGTGAAGCAGCAGAAGGGAAGGTGGCATGGAGACAGGAGCAAGGTAAGCAGGGCTGGGGGTTCGGGTACACAAAGCACTCTAGGAATCAGGTAGGACCCTGGTGGAGGGGAGAGCTTCAACACTCTGCTAGAAGCCAGCGGTGAATGTTATGTTTACCTCTGTAATGATAAATATCTGTAAGCCTAAAACCATAAACTAACATGAGAAGATTTGGGTACTTCCACGACACCCACCAGAGGAGGATGCCCACGCTGCTGGAGGAGAGATGTGTCTTGGCTCCTGCACCAGCTCCCTGTCCTACCCAATTGTGTTATCTTTCTGCTCTTTCCACCTAAAGAGCCTTGCTTATTGTTTTTATAAAGAAAGAAGAAAAGAGAAGAGGAAAAGGAGCAGGGAGAGTAAGGTAGGAAACAGAGTGACAAAATGAAAGAGCAAGGTAGGAACGTAAGCTGAAGCAAACATAGCTGCTACAAGACAAGGAAGAGAGGAGGAAGAGAGGATAGAGTGATCAGTGAGGGCCTGAGGAAAGCAGAGAAAGCAGCAGGAAAGGAGAAGCAACAGAGATCCACTGTCATCCTGTTCATCCGGATCCCCCCAGCACCACGACCAGGTGACTGACACCAAAGCTTTGCCCTTGGGAGAATGGGGAAGTCCAGCCCAAGTGTGGACACCTGCAGCCACTGCCACCCCCAATTTCCAGGGTGGGGTAAGATCTCAGTTCCACACTCAGCCCCCAAAGAGCACTCATCCCCCTGCCCCTATTCCCACCAAGGCTTTTCCCAGCCAAACACCACTTTCTCCCCTTTTCTTTCTTTCCATCTGCTCGAAGAACCCTGAGAGAAAGTTGCCCCCGGCGGACCCTGGACACCATGGTGGAGGCATCAGCACAACCACTGATGGGCTCATCCCTACCCCTCACTGGACACCTCTGTCAGCGGAGCCTAACTACCATTCTCTTCACTGAAGCAGGTTAAAAGCCAGTTGTCTTTATGCCCTGCATTTGCTTTGAAGTCCTTATTTAGATGTAAGAAATAAGAAAATTTCCACACAGGGACTCCTGGGTGGCTCAGTGGGTTAAGCTGCTGCCTTCGGCTTGGGTCGTGATCCCAGCGTCCTGGGATCGAGTCCCACATCAGGCTCCTTGCTCAGCGGGGAGCCTGCTTCTCCCTCTGCCTCTGCCTGCCACTCTATCTGCTTGTGCTCACTCTCGCTCTCTCTCTCTCTCTCTCTGACAAATAAATAAATAAAATCTTTAAAAAAAAAAAGAAAATTTCCACACAGTCCACCCCAATTATGAGTAAGTAGAACCTACCCTGATAAGTCTTTCTGATACAGAAACCACACGACACATATCCATTTGAATGTGTACCCCACACTCACCAGGAGCCGGTTTTCTGTAAGAACTAATTCAGTGAGGCTTTCACAGTCCCCAACTGCTTCAGGCAGCTGTGTGAGTCTGTTCTGATCCACCTTCAAGATCGACAATTTCTTTAGTTTTCCTGTAAAAGCATTATTTCAGCTCATTAGTTACAACTGTCTTCCTAATCATTATTTGGTATCTCTTATCTGCTGTTCTTTTTGTTTTAAATAGTTACTTTTTTTTCCCCTCACCCAGCTTTTCACATTATGAAACCACATCTTTCTCATTTAGATCACTAAAGGTGGAGAGTTAGTTTTATCGGAACATCAAAAACAGCTAGCAATCAGAAACAAATCATTTTAAAAGTCACTACATAAAAAATTGTATCAAAGCCAGAAACTTGATAGAAAAACAAATAACTAGCTCTTGACAGATCTTTAAGGACAGGAAATGTTTCATGTACAAAGGAGAGAGACTTTCATCTTACTCCAAGAATCATCCTCACTAAAAACAAAAAATAAAGTGTGGTTTATTCTATCACCTGAAGTGAAAGTGGCTTGGTGAAGACTTCTGAAATGAATGGCTCTAGAAATACAGAATAAAATGGAAACCTTTGAAATGCCACATGAAGAACTGAGTGTATTTCACTCAGGGCAGAAAGAGTGGATTTTCTGGTGGTGCCTGCAGGCGATGGAAAACAGGAATGGGGTGAGCACAGCTTCCTCAATGTCCCCACTGAGTGAAGAAAATCCTCAATCTTTTGGATTCTCATTTTTAACCATAATTCAAGGAATAATCCTACAAAACAGATAGCCTTCAATATCTACTGAGAGAGGCTGGCATGGGGACACTGTCCCCAGGAAAATCAGAAAATGGCCTCTATCTTAAAGGAAATGTAAAGCTGAAGAAAAAATGTTGAAAAAATTAACTTGCTTTGTGTGTTGCCACACAGCAGGGCAGGAGAACTAACAGAGTCATAAGCTCTTTGTTTAGCATAGTCAATAACCTACTAACACTGTCCAGAGAGTTTCCACCTGTCCTCACCGACAGGAGAGGCTTTCTCCACAGGGCAGGGCACACTGAATTGAATCGACAGATTTCCCTGCAACTGAGGAGTCTCCTTAACAGTATTACTGGCAGGGCACCTGGGTGGCTCAGTGGGTTAAGCCTCTGCCTTTGGCTCAGGTCATGATCTCAGGGTCCTGGGACTGAGCCCTACATGGGGCTCTCTGCTCAGTGGGGAGCCTGCTTCCCCCTCTCTCTCTGTCTGCTGCTCTACCTACTTGTGATCTCTCTCTGTCAAATGAATAAATAAAATCTTAAAAAAAAAAAAAAAACGGTATTACTGGCAAATGGTGTCGCCGCCTCTCCCTGAACACTTCAAGTTACGGGGAGCTCATCTCTTCACTAAGCAGCCCAGACTAATTTGTAACCAATATTTCATTTATATCCTTCCCCTATAGCTGTCTGAACTAGAAGATGGAGTAACAAATCGACTTCTCTTCTACAGGACTGCCTCTCAAATGCTTGAGGTCAGTCATTTCACACTTCCTACTTCCTATGCCTAGCAACAAAACGTCCCCAGTTGCTACAACTATTTTTGGATACCAAGTATCATTCTCACTGACCATCTCTACCTGGACTCAAAATCTCCATCAATTTTCCACCCGGGCCGAACCAAAAGACAACGTCTGTGTTCCTCCCCAGTTGTTATGATCAGATACTGCTTTCATCTTGGCCAAACACCAGAAAGGAAGTGGTTCTCTGTCCTAGAGCTTCTTCAACTACTGAAAATCCTTCAGAAACCTGCTTTGATATTTTGAATAAAAGCTAAACAAAGGTCAAAGACAGCAACACTTTGTTAACTGTGGTTAAACATAGTTTCTTACAACCTCTAAGTGGCTTCGCAATGGTGGAGCTCTCGGTCCACGTCTGTTTATACCTTCCCTGAGTTTATTTTCTCACACAGGACTGAATGCCTTTAGGATAAAGGAAATGTCTGAACTAACTGATTTTAAAGGAAATGACAGACAATGGTTAAAGGAAAAGACTATTCTCGACGCATGAGAAAAGGATCAACTCAAACACACCATTCCTCCCTAGATCATGTGGTGAGGTCAGAGTCACTTTCTCATTAACCTAAATAGTTATTTTTATGCTCACATAAAAATTTCTTAAAGACTGCTCCCATGACTGAAACTTATCTATTATTCAGACTAATCTCTACTGAAAACAATGGAGACAAGATGCAGAAGAGACAGAGGAGTCAACACTTAGAAGTAATCATACCTACAACTGCTACTGAACCAGGATGACAGAAATACTTGCCTATCCAGAAACTTCAAGTACATTAAATGTTCTCTGCATTCCTTCTTTAAGAACAAATAAATGACACGGAGACTAAAGGAGCCACATCGCCAGCCTCTGAGAGTGGTGACCAAAGAATCAGAGTGATCCCCAAAGGCCCGAGACAACAGCCAGCACCTTTAGTAGGGAATTACTTTCCGTACTTACCGATGCCATCTGGAATCATTTCTAGTAGGTTCTGGGAAATGACTAAATCCGTTAATGAAGTCAGGCCACTGATTTCTTCAGGAAGTCTTTCCAACCTATTTTCAGAGACATCTAAGCACAGTAGGTTCTTCAGATTTCCTATTTCCTACATCAGTGACACAAAAAAGAGACTCATGCTTCAACCTGCCACAGTACAGAGGAATTTCTTACAGTGATTTTTCACAGTCAAATCCCAAAGTTGTCCCGAGGATGTTTCTTTAGCGTTTATCTATATGAGAAGGCTGGAATAAATTTCCAGACCCCTTTCCAATGAAAACGGGAAGCTGTAAAAATCACAGACACGGCTCTGGGAAGGATGCCAAGCCCTCCAACTTCAGGCAGGCAAGGAATCATTCTCACGTAACAGATGAAAAGACTGGCACCAAGAGAGAACAAATGACTCTATGGTTACATAATTTAAAAAAAAGGGAGTCTCGAATCCAGTTCCTCAAGTTTTGGAATCAATCACTTCAATAAGCAACTCATACTTCAGGGTGACCCTGAGATTTTCTGTTAAGAAACCATCTGTATACACACACACACACACACACACACACACACACACACACACACACACACTATCTCTCTCTCTCTTTTCCCATCATGCCCCAGATCTGATGTATTACTTTCCTGATAACCCTGTGGTATTTTTATTCCCCATCCTGTGACTCTGAAAATAATGGGAATTCTCCCAACTAGGATTTCTCCTAATTTCCTAGAGAAATCTAGGTATTAATTAGACCTTCACCACATCAGTTGCTAATCTGTCTCCTTTCCCCAAATGCAGCCAAGACCTCAGAAAGAGACTGCAATTATCTCCTTCCTTCCCTTGGCTGTGAGTGAGGTCCTCATACTTTCAGTGCTGTAACTACATCCAGAACATGCTACGAGTGCTTCCTCCTGGAGTTCAACCTCCGCATCAACACGGCCTTCCTCACCTACAGCACACAGCACCATCACACCTGCTTCAGCCCACTGAGCAGACACCTGAGCATCTGATCTGCTTTAAACTAGGGGCACCTAGGCCATCAGGAAATACACCCGGACTTTAAAGACTGGCTATAAGGTATATCAAAGATTGAAATTCAGGAGTAGTTAGACAAAAACTGAGTAAGAGGAAAACGCTTGTTTTTTAATTGTTGGGTTTGTTGGCTTATGTTTCTCTGTCATTTTACCAGAAGGCAAGCCTGCTTACAAAAGGACTCCACGAGATGACTATGTACCTAGAAGTCTGTGCAGACTCTAATTCATTTGGAACACGGTTCTCACATTTGATAATAGTCGGAAAAACCTTAACACTATGACAAAACAGCTAAAACATAAGAAGTATTTGCAAAAATTTTGAAATAAAAGCTTTTAACATTTCTTTTACATCAACTATTACAGAAAAGAATGTGGTCACAATCATCCCAAAGCACTTGGCACGTCACAAAGACTGTCAGAAATGGACACCATCTAAGAATCAGAAGTCCTCACAATTTACAAAGTTGCTGGGCTTGAAGTAAGCCACGTGGGGAGCAAGGATGAAATAAAATACAGACTTCACCAACTAAAGGATGTATTTTCTATCTTTAGAAATGGTGGGTTGAGGCTTTCAATTTTTCTGTGGCAATGTAGCATGATGAATGCTTAATATATGTTACCAAATGTGCTTTCTCAACCAATGTTTTTGGTTTCAAGATCCCCGTTATAGAAAATTTCACATAGAAGCAGGGAATATATGAGTGGTGCCTGTGGTTATTTTATAATTTGGGGGAAACAATGTAAAATCACCACTTACCTGAGGTAATTCTGACAGCTGATTTCCATCCAACCAGAGATCCTTTAGATGTAAGAGAGCTCCAATTGATTCTGGCTAAAACAAACAAACAAAAATAATCCTATGGTAACAAAGTTCCAATGTTGAGTCTTCCACTAAGAAAGAATCCCAATTCAATAGTTAATAAATGGGTACTATACAGGATGTCTGTTGGGACTTTTCCAATACAAGTCCCCCATCCTAAAAGCACTCCCAGTGCTCTCCAAGAATGTTGGTGATTTCCATTTATGCCCGTCATCTCTAGTCCTGACCCTCCCCACCCCTACATCACAATTCTTAACATGTATGAACTGAAGCACATTCTCTCATGTTGCCAAGCTATATCTGTGAAAATACACCCCTACAGATTTCCCCTAAAATATGTTTTGATGACACATAGGGACAAAATTAAATCTAAATCTCTTTGGTACAGACTTACCAAATTATATATTTCATTGTTTCCTAAATCAAGTTCTTCTAGTCTCCGCAGCTGGGTAAGAGAGCTATTTAAAAAGAAGAAGAAGAAGGAACTCTTAGAGCGTACTTAGAAATGCTGAGCAACATGGTATTCCTCACTTGGACTCATTTCCAAAAACATTCGGACTGCATGGCTCTAAGTTTTACCAAGGAAAAACTATTAAGGGAAGGCTGGCATCTCCCAAACTTTCCAAAAGACACAGAATCTCTTTTTGACAAAGTACTGTAGTACTTTTTTTTTTTTTAAATACTTGAAGAAATTCATGTAGTACAAAATCCCCTCTTGTTTTGCCCAGAGACTCACTCAGGAAGATATGTAAGAAGATTCTCTCTCAGTTCCAGGGAAGCCAGGTTATAAAGACTAGAAATGAACAAGAGGAAAAAAATATAAGGAAAATTCCCGAGATCCTTCTTCCCATTCCCCCCTTCATAATACACTCCACAAATAGCAATTCTTAATAAAACCTCGTCACTTCCTCCCAGTAGAAAAATATGTATAACCACTACCCCTACCCTCATTAAAAACAACATACTATCTACCCCCTCAGTTTTAATATTAAAATAAAAAGAGAAGCATCATCAACGTAAGGCACCCTTATTTAAATACTTGTACAGTTGATATGTGAAAATAACTCAGTAGTCCTTAAAGACAAACCACTGCTTGGAACCAAGATAGAAGCCAACTGTGTGCTTCTAGACTTTAGAATGTCAAATATGTGCAGGTACCATAAAAAACAGTAATGCCTTTAATCTCACAAAGATCAGAGCTCTTCTTCAAACATCAGTGAGAGACCAATCATGTTTGAAAGTAGTAGGCATCTCAGTCCAGAGGGCCCACATGCTATACCTAAGATCACAAATTCTAGGGATGCCTGGGTGGCTCAGTAGTTAAGTGTCTGCCTTCGGCTCAGGTCATGATCCCAGAGTCCTGGGATGGAGTCCTGCATCAGACTCCCTGCTCAGAGGGGCTTCTGCTTCTCCCTTTGCCTCTGTCCCCCTCTGTTCCTTGCTCATGCTCACTGGCTCTCTCTCGCTCTCTCTCTCTCCCAAAAATAAATAAAATCTTTAAAAAAAAGACCACAAATTCTCAGAGTACCTGGAAGCAACAGTATGGAAATAATGGCCATTTAAATGCATCAAGGACACCTCACGTGGTGCCCAGAACACAAGACCGATTCAATAAATGGGAGCAGTAATGTTTGTTTCATTCCTATGGAACACCACAGTAGCATCCTTTTCTGCAGATTCTGTTGCCTCTCGGGTGTAATCCATGCCTACCAGGAGCACGATGAAAGGAGACAGATGTTTTCCCAGGACACTAATGATCTGGGTGGAAGCTTCGTATGCAGTGGCGGCTCTGCCTCACCAGAAACCTCACATGCCCAGGGGACGTCAGCACAGGCATGCATTACTGATTCGGAAGGTAACAGATTCATCTATTACTCCACCAGGTATTGTACTAAGCTCTGCACCAATCCAAAACACAAGGTTTTGCTCGTATCACCACAGTAATGTTCAAATTTGGAGGACTTTTACCATGTAAGCACACAGAACACAAGGAGTCAAACCGTATCCCAACACTCTAATCTGCCTTAATCTTCCATTCTCCTTCCAACATAAAAGCCAGAACCAAAGCTGGTTTCATAACATCAGAAAACGTAAATCTGATTTGCACAAACAATATATATACATATGCGAAGACTATTTGCTGGAAAATGTATCTTAACTTGATGAAATGCACAAATTCTGTATCTCCTCCAATTTTAGAAAACTGAGTACTTTTCACAATTAAGGCAGAAGCAAACAAAACTCTTCAGAACATATTTTTTTAAAAAATCAAAATCCCTGCTAACAATTATGAATTTAATGCTGACATTCTTAAGAAAAAAAGGAAGGCTGAAGTTGCAGCAATGTAGCTCTACTTTGGGTGGGCCAGGCATTCACACAGAAGACAGAAGAATGGGAAGGAGAGGGAGGTGAGAAGGAATTACCTGGCGTCTATTTCCAAAAGCAACCTGTACACGAGGGTGATAAGTAAACACTGTACTGCTTTGCTTTCAGCTTTGGTGTAAACCCTGGCCAGTTTCATTGGGGAGGTAGTAACCTTTAGCTATTTTCACATTCATATTTTAACAATCACTGATGAAATTGTCATTTTATCTGTTCAACATTCATTGCTTTCACACCAATTTTGACGCATGAAAGGCACACACTAATAAAAGAAGGAAAAAGTCCTTGCTTCACAAACCTTACTGGCAGGCATCACTGAATGCCCTCTTTAAAAGTGGTTTTCCTACGGTGCCTGGGTGGCTCAGCCATTAAGCGTCTGCCTTTTGCTCAGGTCATGATCCCAGGGTCCTGGGATGGAGTCCTGCATGGGGCTCCCTGCTTAGAGAAGAGCCTGCTTCTCCCTCTGCATCTTCCCCTTCCCTGCTTGTGCTCTCTCTCTTTCTCAATCTGACAAATAAACAAAATCTTTAAAAAGTAAAATAAAATAACAATAAAAGCAGTTTTCTGCAGGCCTTGATGATGAGCGTCGTCCTGAGGCCTCACGCCTGACCTGGACCACCTGCCCACTCTCTCTGGCATGGCACACAGCTCCTCACACACATCATACTCTCTCATACTCTTGATTAGTAACGTCCCGGCTGGGTGATGACAGGCCAAGGACACAATTAGGAACAGGGTGCTTTGTATAAATTCCATTAGGAAGGGCCAAAGGTACGATCCAAGTCTGGTGGGAAGCCAAAACTCCAGCCCTCACCCCACAACGCCTTGAGGCGTCTCAGGGGCCCTCTATTCTCTGGAATCTCTTTATAATTTCGGTTTTAAAAGCAGCTATCAATCTGGGGCAAATATGTCAGTCTTACCTTCTTAACCGCACCAAGGACACTAGCACTTTTACAGGTTTATGTCATTTTAAAAACAGGATACACATTTTTAAATTAACTTTACATTTTCTCTTGAGGTAAAAAGCACAGGCCACAGTTACTAAAAGCAATAATGCTTGAGCAAAAATACTGCAAAAATGCCCGCAGACTTCCAAGTGTACAGAACTTGCTAACGACCTGTTACAGTCAACGTACCATGCTAACACTACCATGCTAACACCCAAGTAAGCAGAACATCCTGTTAAGCAAAAAAGTTCTGATTCCAAAACTTCTTAGTTTCTACTCTTTGGGGGCCTGGAGGGGAATGAGAATGTATGGGTGTTGCAACAACAAAAAAATGCCTGATTTTTCTAACTTTTCAAAATTCAACAATTAATTTAAAACAAAGTATTTAAAATAAGAGCTTTTCTGAGGCAATACTTCCCCTAACTTTAAACTATTTAAAATGAAGGAACTCAAGCATTCCATCGGGCTCTGTGGACCCAGTGGCTAAATGCTACTCTGAGAAGAGTACATAGGGTCGGGCAGGAGACAGGGCCTAGCCCTGGCTCCACTTCTGGCCTGTCCCTCACTAAGTAGCTGCTGGACTGCCCAGCTCAGGTGCTATCCCAACCTCCCCTAAAATAAAGATAATCGTATCTACTATGGCAATTAGGGTAAACTACGTTTTCCATTTTCCCATCAAGTCAAGAGAGCGAGTGTTGCCCCTTATTTCCTTGAGACAGCCCCCAGGCCTGTGCAGTCAGGTACCTTTTAAGTGGGCATGCCCTGCTACAGGACACTCTCCATCACAGGAGTCATCCCCACTACGGAGGACTCCCTGAAGTGCAGCTCCCAGAGACAGTGAGCTGCTGGCCCTGGCCAACTTGTTGAAAGATACAAGCTGCATAGTCCCAGAGCAAGTACAGAAGAATCCTACCAGCTACCTACCCTCTCCAAACTATTCTACTAACAGCTGACATAAAAGGCGATCTGCCTGAATACAGATTTAGACCAGAGAAATTAATATAAAATGGAATGACTGAATGAATGAATGAATGGTCTCCCTTAGTCTTTCAGAATACAGCATGCATCTTCAATCCAGATGTCAAGATAGTGCCTTCCCATCAAGGCAACCTATTCAACGTAGCACAAACACCTCTGCCTCCCTTATAGCACCTAATAAAGAAAAATGTGCTCTGGCAAATGCGGCGCTGGGGGAGTCAGACACAGTTCTGTCCGCTTCTGAGACCAGGCTCTAATCCCTAGGACGAGAGAAACAAGGAAACTCAGACTTCACATGTCTTTATCAGCCACTTCAGTTAAAACATGAGAGTATAGAGACCAAAGAAAGCGCCAGGTGTTTCTAATATTTTACACGTGAGAAAATGAGATACTGGAGATGCAACACGAGAATTACTGGTTTTTAACACTTCAACTACTAGCAATGATACCAGCAGCTTATTATATGATAGATATTGTTGTAAGCCCTTTATAAGAATCAGCTCTGGGGATGAGAAAACTAATGCAGCAAAGTATTCAGTAGTAAGTTTTCTTTCCACCTTCCTCCCTCATCTATCCAGTTTCCCACCACGGAGACCCTTCTCACTGAAAATCACCTATTTTTTTGTTAGTCACTTATGTATTCATGCAGAGTTCTCTTTCATGCAAAGACAATCAAGTATCTTCCCAGTCTTCACATGCAACTTATTCCACACACATCTAGTACTTTGCTTTGCTCTGATTTTTTTTTTAAAGATTTTATTTATTTATTTGTCTGAAAGAGAGAGACAGAGAGAGAGAGAGCACACAACCAGGGGGAGTGACAGGCAGACAGAGGGAGAAGCTGAGCAGGGAGCCTGATGCAGGGCTCAATCCCAGGATCTTAAGCCAAAGGCAGACGCTTAACTAACTGGGCCTCCCAGGCGTCCCTGCTCACACAGATTTTTGTCTCATTTCTTATTTATAAATATCTGTATTTTTTTTTAAATAACTGCATAGTATCTCACTTCTTTATACACCTTAATTTTTTTAATTATTCCCTCATTAACAGTTATTTTACTCTTTAACTTTAATATTTGGCGAATTAAACTTCTATGCAATACTACTGGAGTGAATTCATCCCCATCCTACAAAAACATGATTTTCTCTTCTTCCTGTAACTCCTTTCTACCATTTCTACCAGCAAATGGGGTAAAACAACAATAACCACCACAAACAACTTAATGAGCTCTTACAGAAAAAGAGTACATTAAAGCATTTCTTCTGAACACATTAATGCTTAATGTTTTACACAGTTCATGAGAGCAGGGACAAAAGTTATAACGTAAGTCAGAATGTAGGCCATCTGTATTTTTAGGATTCTATTTCAGGGACTGGATGAGTGGTTACTTTAAAGAATTTACATCTGTTCTCCACTATACTTGAAAAATCCCCTTTTAATCCACTTGGATTTTTTTTTCCATTTTGGTAGCCAAAATCATTAAGAAAC